ACCTTACTGCGGGACGCTTCAAGGAGCCTCTTCCATGCACTAGTCTACAGCTCTTGTTGCTGTGGAAGTCACATCGCCAGATTACACCTCAACGGCTTCGACATCACTGATGATAAAGCTGTAGGGCCGCGATTTGTTTTCTTCCTATCTTCAAGTCCAGATTCTCGACGTTGCCATTGGCAGGAAACCTCATTCAACATTCATACGTACGTCCACAAGACCTCAGTCGGCAATTACAACTAACATGTAGTCTGCTTAGAGAAATAACCCCGTTGTCCAAGCAACACCATGAAAAGACACTATGCTTATTACTGCAAGAGTGTCGGATTCTTGGCGAGCCGTTGACAATGACATTACGTCGGGCCGCTGACGAAACACCAAGAATCATTGGCAAACGAGTCAGTGCCGTTTGTAGACAAGACCTTCCCGATAAGAGTCTTGGAGAACTCGTCGACCAGGATGAGCTCATCAACTGCCGATGGGGTGGCAAGTTTCCAGAAGCTTCGAAAGCTGCTCTCTGTCTGAACCTATCACTTGCATTGATACACCTGTCCGCCAGCGAATGGGTATCTCACCGCTGGGACATCGACAATATCTTCCTCGCATGTGACTCGCGCCAACAGAATCTCACGACATGGGATACAGACCAACCGTATCTATCAAGAAGGCTGAACATCGAACCGAGTTCAGATAGACTGGAGGAAGAATGCGAAGCTTTTTTCAGCCCAGCCAAATCCCGCTTGCTTTCATTCGCTCAGGTGGTGATGGAAATCTACGTCGGGGAGCGCTTCGCCAAAAGCGCAAATTCGAAGGGGGAGAGATCTCAACTTCTCAGGAAACTTGTAACAGATGAAAACGTACAAAGATCGGTGCCGAAATCTGTACGAGAGGTCATTCAGTCATGCATTGACTTTGTAAGCCAGGGCGAATGGGACGAACAGCCGGACGATGATTGGCTCTTTGCTGAAATCGTCTTAAAGCTGGACAATACCGTACGATTATACGCTCCACCTCCATCAAGACCACGCATAATTGAGGATAGCACCAACACCAAGACGCAAAAGCGTAAATCCAGAGGGGCTGATTTAGAATTGCGTTGCGACGAGGAACCCAAACGGTTAGTCGGCTACTCACTCTCACCGCTAGGACATTACTTTCTAACCTTTGTAGAGTAAAACGCTCTCGTGGTGCCGACTGGTTTAAAATGTTCGAAGGAATTAAGGAAGTTCTTGGTGAGAGCATTGGCGACGATAATCACCCGAGGGCCAAGGTCGCTATTCTCGATACAGGGCTGACCGCGGAGGCGGCCGCCAAGTTTGACCAACCCGAGTCGAATTATCGTGACTTCACAGCCGAGCCAAAAGAAGTCATGAACGACAGTACAGGTCACGGGACATCTGTATTTGAACTCGTTTGCAGAGTCTGCGAGACTGCAGATATTTTTGTCGCTAGGGTCTGGGAAGGAAGCAATGCAACTGCTGACACAGTCCAGTCCTCAATCAAAGTATGTGCCTATATGTACCTACTTTCTGTATCATCCCTTGTTTTGGGATTACTGACTGATACGACGGCTCATAGGCATTGGAATGGGCAATGAAGAATGACGTCGACATCGTTTGCATGGCCTCCGGTTTCCACTCTGAACCGCCTGAACTACGCGAGGCGATGTTGAAGGTCTTCGCGGCCAATATACTAGTTTTTGCAGCAGCTTCAAATTACGGCAATAGCAGGAGGGTCACCTTCCCAGCTCGGTGGGATGACCTTGTGTTCTGCATGTTTTCCACAAACAGCGACGCAAAAAATTCCCGGTCCATTAATCCAGCAGGACTCGGCAATGATGATTTTGCCATATTTGGAGAAAACATACGACTTTATTCAGGGCAGATCGATTCTGGCACGTCCTACGCGACGGCAATTGCTTGCGGCTTTGCCGCTCGTCTTCTGGATTTCTCAAGACAGGAAGAGGTTGTCAAAGAGAGGTTTGGGAAGTTTGGTGATAGGATCAAAGAGAAGAGAATTCTAACAAGGGTCTTTCGAGATATCAGCAGTCAAGATGAAGGATATCGGTGCATCGTGCCCTGGAGCCTGCTTCCAGAGGAGCTACAAGGGCAATTTGATGGCTTCACAGATGAAGAGATAAGAGATGCTAGGGAAAGAATCTGCATCAGGATTTCGCGGTGCGCCGGAATGCTTTAGCTGTAGCAAGCTGATGAGTCAGTGTATACCCTAGGAATCCTTCTTTTAAGTCCTGGTATGTTCCTACATTCCGTCCCTAGCAACTATTAGATACATCTCTTCCTCCGTTTCTGGCAATTCCACTTTGAATGTATCGAAAGCACGTATCTCCAAGTTCTTTGCAACGTCATTGATGTTGGGCGCTGAGTTCTCGGAGCCAAATGTTGCGCCATCAGTGTAAGTCTTATGCTCAAACTCGGAACGAAAGGCAGTCTTTGAAAGCTCAGTAAGGCGGACCGCCCAAATGAAGTCATTTGCGTGACGAGCAGATATCGTTCTTCGATTAGTTTGAGAAACACCCATATTTATCTCTGCCCCAACAACATCCACCATGTTCCTTAGTGACACGTGTTAATGAGCTTTCTTATTTAGATCACTTTGCTTTTCACTCACATTCCAGGATTAAGTTCGGTTGATTTACCGCTGGAGGTGGTTTGCTCACGGGCGCAACCTCGAGCGATCATGAGACCTGAGATCATGAAGAGCTTGCAGAATCCAAAGGTCTTTACACGTTCAATGTGCTCCGCAACTTGTGGTGACTTGAGGCAATGCTTGATGTAGTTTCTCGTCGGCCGAATAATCTGAGTGTCTAGTTGATCGAACTGCCAGCTGTCTTCCACAGTGTTTTCGAATTGGGCCCCAATGCCGGCCTGGACAGTCAGGCCTGCTGCTGCTGCTATGGGAACATTGGCTTTTGCTCCAGCCTGGAGACCTCTGTCCGTAGCGGTCCCCCAATGGAAGTCGGTTGCGGTTGTCTGCTCAATGCGCATGTCCCTTGGAAATGAGATCTGCCCCTCGGAGTTTATGACCTGGTCCAACTGCTTCAGACTTGGGACAAGATGGCCGAAGAGGAGACTTCCGGTTGCCTCCCCCCGTGCCATTCCTGGTTGAGTATACTCAGGCGCCAGGAAGTGGGAATGTCGTAGAACGAACCAGCATTTATCCATAATGGTTGGGGATAATGCTGTATGGAGTGATAACTAATTGATGCAATCCAAACTTCACGGGAAAGATAAGCAGGGGCTGGAGGAAATTGGAAAGGTTGGAAAGCGTTGCGCCGCTTCTACAGTTGATGTCAATCTTTTGGTAAGTTCCTTCCACAGCAATTTGCGACCCAGACTGCGCCTCTGGCGCACCATCCCAGTTCCCAATCCCCTCCATGTTGGCGCCACTGACAGCGCTTGTGGGTTGCTCAGGCAAACGCTTAGCGGGCTGCACTGCACGTACAGGGGCCCCCTCACTCAGCCTTCTTGCGCGAATAATTACTTAGGTTGGCATACATGAGAATACCAAGCACCGGTAGGTCCCCACAAATGGGCTACCGATGACAGCCACACAGGCATCCTTCAGCATCCATTCGTTTTGTTCCTTGGTTGGAAGCCGTGGTCGTCCGCTACTTTTGCTTCAGGAAGACCAAATGAAATCTGACCAACATTGGATGCTGTCGATTACTTGATCAACAAAAGACATCCGAGATATCGCCTTTGATCTCGCACAAATCATGTATTGACCTTCTCTCAATTTGATTGTGCCGATCTAGACGTGTAAGGCAAATGCGTGATACTAGTAGGCACATGCATATGCATCCTGCACTCATCCGGTGTCGCCGTGTATTGACCTAAGAGGCGAAAATCGGCCAATTGAAGATGAACACGTATCTTCCAATTCTCCCTGCAATGACAGGTTCCGGAAGCAGGCTCTCAAACTTGACATGCAAGATTCCGTTGGCTGGATAACGTGTTACACTCGGTGAAATGCGGGAGAGAGAGATTTGTTGAACCTGACGATGCGAGCCGACTGTGACCAAATTAAATTGGGAATAGTTGTGGGCTGAAAGACCGGACTTTTGCGACGAAGGAATTCACGTCTACTGAGAGCCATTAGGAAGCTCAAGTCACTCGAAAGGGTAGCAAACGACTTGTCTTGAGTGCTACTACGTGATCACACGCCCACCCTTCTACACCACTGTTCATTTCATGATGGAATGGCCTTCCAGAGCGTGGGAATTCAGAGGGCACGACCTCGACCTTTTTGAATACGAAGAGCGACCCACCAAGGTCTTGACTGTGCAATTGGACGACCTGTTAGACCCGACTGTGAGTTTTTGAACAAGCCTCAGGCTTGACAAACGACTAAGATAGAAGGTCCCGGTGGCGTTAGTTGAAGAGGAGTTGACCTCGGAGGCTGAATGGTCCTCGTGGATCCAAAGCGCAGTTGGTTCTACGGCCAGATTCACGTGGTGACTGACCAGTACACTAATGAACGAACAGGAATCAATCTTTAGGAGCAAAGAACTTGGTACACTCCAGATCATGTGAGTCTAACGCCGTCCACTTGGCGTGATGCTTAATCCCACTTTGAATTGATACACGTCTTCACCTAGGAAATAGTTTGAAATCTATTTGTTGACTGAGACGATACTAATAGCATTTTCCGACGAGCCACGGGTGCCGTCTTTGGTTATCAGCCAGGGATTCATCAAGTTCCGGTCACGGAACAAACCCTAGAACGGATAGCTAAATCGTTTCACATCCACCAAAGTCTAGGACGAACAATCAATCGCCAGAATGCAGATTTTGTACATTGTCTTCATCTAGGGAATGAAATTGAAGCTGACAGGCTGTGTAAGAACAAAAGCTTTACTGTTAAGCTTGTTGTGCTGGAAATTCAACTGACTCGTCAAAGCTTATACCTACCGTACAAGTGCTATATTTCCAGATGCCATCGCAGTCTCTGTGACCCACGAGACGCAGTCACGATCAACGATGGCCATTTTCTTTGGGGACACCCTTCCTCAAGAATTTTTACTTCTTTATCGCATGAGGAATTCCATCCAGGACCTATGTCACCCCCTCGCACTTGTGGGAGCGGCTTGTGAGCTTGAGCGTGACAGGTCAATAAAACGCGAGGTCCGTCCCTTGGAGTCACAATACATGGAGCGACAAGACTTCGTTGCTCAAATTGCGAATGACGATTTGGCAGCAGCAATGCAGAAAGAACAGGTAGCGGACCTGCTCACCTTGCATTTGAAATGCAGCTTTCTGATTGTGAATCTGGAAGCGTCTAAGCGTCAAATGAACAGAATCATGGAGCAACCGATAGAGCTGCGAGCCAGCGACACAATGACAGATGTTCTAAGGAAGAAAGGCCTCTTTTGGAATGGAGCCTGTGGAGATTCGGGGCGTGACAACGACTCTATCATACCGGAACTTCACACTGAAAAAAGGTTATACCAACGTCTCGTCCAAATATCAGACGAATTTGACCATAAGATTGACAATTGTCGACAATCAATGGAAGATACGATGGTGACCACACAATTGGTAAGACGGCGACATACCGATACTAAGGAAGGCCGATCTAATCATCATAACCAGATGCTTAGTCGCGCTGCCCTCGGCGACACTCGAGTAACTACTGAGTTGTCGGTCGCAATGAAGGAAGACAGCTCGCAAATGCGGTGGATAGCATTCTTAACCATGATCTACCTACCGCTGACGAGTGTAGCAGTAAGTAAACTCCTCATACGAGAAGCCGACTGTTAACCCCCAATAGACCGTCTTCTCGCTGAACGTCTTCAATTGAGAGGCAGAGGGCGAAGATTCCATTATCAACAAACACTTTTGGCTATACCTTGGGGTGGCTGGAGGGGTCACGGCTCTTACGCTGGGCATATGGACGCTCTACATGGCGGGCAAGAAAGGATTGTATTGGGGAAAACATCCAAGGGACTCCAAGACCGAATCCAGGATGAATGCCACGGGTAGTGGACGCTCCACTGTATGAACATGACCGCGAGCTCCATGGTTCAGATTTTATGGTGTGCATGGGCTTTCTTGAAACCAACCTCAATATCCTTCTGTTCAAAAGATTTTACACAAACCCTATACAGCAGCGGACACAAGAAATGCAAATGCTAGACCTTCCTGTGACAAAGATCCAAAGCGCTCTGATGGCCTTTAAAATTGGACCCTTTGAGGAAAACAGTTTGCGCACAGCGTTTCAGAATGATACTGAAGGTGTGAGAACTCTTTATAACAACTGAATTCGGACTAGCTATGTGGCTTGAGAAGCTAATATATCTGGCGATCTCCAATCAACCAGTCGGTCGTAGATCATGAGGTTCCAGACGTCCATAATTTGCGAGTGTCAAGCTCATGCTGAGACATTAATGTATTTAAAAACATGCATGTGAACGGCTGATACACTAAGAGCTCCTGGTTTCTTTCGTACCAAATGTTGTTCAGAAATGTTGGCTGTCACCTAAATATGGCCCAGCTGATGTTTGCATGAAGATAAGTAATAAAGTCATTAGGCGAAGGATTGACAGGATTGCTCCCGATTATTGCGGTTCTCCTGCTTCATCCGGTCTACTGAGTAGACTGTTAACCTTTCTCTACGTGCTCACCTTAGTCGAAAGGTTTTCTTAACGCGACACCTGCATCCAATGAACTTTTTATGTCCGGGCGTGGGCTGATAGATCCAAGGCGTCAGAGCCATGTTTGGTCCATCATTAAGCTTTTGATAGCTCTCCCACCAAGAGAAAGCTTTCTCACAATCCGGGGAAGGCTTGATCCAATTTGCAATCCAGGCGCATCAAAACTTGGAAGCGCGCCGACCCAAGCCACCACCCAAACGGCGGCTTGCGAGGATTTATCTGACTCTCCTTTATCTTTCCTTCTGACGTTTTTCGGACTTTCGTATTGCAGATCACCGCTTGTAGACACACCTATTTTAACTATCGGTTTATCGCATTCTGGATCACTGGCCGCCAACAACCAATGCTCCAAAGGCCCTTAACAACCAAAACCCGCAAAGAAAACTACTCGACAACATCGTTACCCAAGGGAGCTTCGTCTAAAGACAAAATTATCATGATGTGTTGTCAAGGCAATTGAAGTTCTAAATCATGTCTCAAGACTATTGATGAAAGTCAAAGACAATGTCTTGCTGCCGGTGCGGCCCCACTATGGGGTTAAGAGGCTCTCGCCCGATTTCGACCCCTTGCTTCCAAGATAGCCAGGATGGCCATCCCAGACGCCACCTATGTGGAAGTTTTCGTACCACGGATGGACTCTCTATTTCTGAAATTTGAATCAAAATGGGAATCGCTATCGTGGGACAGCCTTCGCGTGGCTAAAGCTAGAAACGTTACAGGGGAAGGGCTGTAGCACAGAAACCAAAGCCACGAGCAAGATTTACAACATTCAATGGCTGATTATCTACATGAACAGCTGAAAAAGTTGATATCTAAAGCCTGTGGCGTTGCTTCGGAGACTACGTCCTTAGACCATAGGTCGAGGAAGCGAAGTCTGTAAGGGATGATAAGGCTAAATTTTACTTTCCCGTGTTTCTGTCCGAAGTTGGTGTAGGTCTCACATGTCGATTCAATGATTGCCCGCACAGCTGATAATGATCTTCGCGATCATGCAGAGCTGAACTGACTGCCGAAGGTCAAATTTCCGTGCTGACGGGCTGGGCCTGGGCCAGGCACAGGATCGTTTGAGGTGTTTTGGTCTGACACAAGTCCTTGAAGCGCACCATCGCACTTGTCGTAAGTAAGCTTAAGTTATTCAATACACCTTTTTTGGACATAAAACATGTCTGTTCTCGAAAGTTTTGCACTTGTCTTTTCTCAACTATCACAAAGCATCAACCTGATCTCTTCCGATCCTCGTCCATTCTTTTCCGTCACCTTTCGAGGTACAGTCATTCTTTACTCACATCGTCACTCGTTTCAACATGCGTTCAACCTTCGCTATTGCCTTTTTGGCTCCAGCCATCTTGGCTCAGTCCAATGTTTTGCCTGGACATGGAACAACTTCTGCAGGGTGGAACACCACCATCATTCCTGGTCCTACCGGGGTCATTTCTTCGACTGTTCCCATTCATACTGCGACCGAGGTTACAGTCACAACTACGGCTGCGAACTCCACCGGCATCTGGGTGACTCTTCCTCCCTCCACTATCACGGCGACATACACGGCCACTTACACCCACACTATCACCTCCTGCCCACCTGGAGTCAAGCCATGCCACAGCGGTGCTGTCACGATGTTCCTCACAACTATCACCACAACCTACTGTCCCGAGACTCCCGTTCCCACCCCTTGCCCTGGCGGAAAATGCCATCATACTCCTCCACCTCCCCCTTCCCCTCCTTGCACCGGCAAGCACTGTGACAACCCGTTCGTCTGCTACGGAGACCACTGTGCCTACAACAAGCCATGCGACGGCGGAGACTGCAGCCGCTGCCTCCTCTGTACCGACGGAAAGTGCCAGCCGAACCAGTGCAGCGGCAACGACTGCGGCAAGATCATCATCTGCAAGGGCGACTCTTGCCGATACCACAAGTGCCAAGGCGACAACTGCAACAAGGACAAGATTGTCTGCCACGGCGATAAGTGCAAGTCCGAGAAGTGCCACGGCGACGAATGCAACAAGAAGTACGTCTGCAAAGACGGTAACTGCAAGCACGAGTCCTGCCCTCCCGAAGACAACAACAAGCACTACGACTGTCATGGCGACGAGTGCAAGACCGTCGAGGAGTGCAAAGGCGACCACTGCCCCAAGCCTCAGCCGCCCGTCAAGCCACCCCAGCAGCCTTCCGGCACCCCGCCTGCGCAGCCATCGGCGAGCCCTCCTGTTCAGCCCCCGGCCCATCCATCCAAGTCCGGGGATGTCCCGCCTCAGGGCCCTGAGCAAACCCCCGTCAGCCCTCAGGAGCATGCTCCTGTGAAGCCTCCTCAGGAGACATCACCTGAGCCTTCCCAACCCTCTGGCAACCATCCTGAGCAGCCCACTCACACGCCTGGGTCTCCTACAAAGCCATCCGAGTCCCAGCATCCCACCCATTCTGTCGTCGTTGCTGGATCCAGCAAGTCGGCTTCCAGGATTGCCTTCGTGGGTCTCGCTCTTGGTGTTGCAGGAGGGCTTATCTTCCTCTAAGTGTAGGACAGGATCTGTGTAATGTGAAATGCAGTGTAGGCTTTTGTTTCTCTATTTCTCTTCTTACTGGTCGCCAGGGGCTGGGCCTCGCTGGTCTCTGTGCGGCCAGCTTTTATATCACAAACCTTTGTACGTAGGAAAAGGAGGGCCCTGTAATCGTAGTGAGACATAATGATCAAGGATGAATATGTCAGTAGAGAAAATAGAATGTTCATCTTCTCATCGAAAGAGTAGCATAATCAACCTGAACAGTGCAAAAAAAGACAGGATTCCTCGTCGTGACTTTCCGTGTGGTGTCCATTGTGCATCTATCAATCTGGTTCCAGGTCCCAATCCCAAGTCTCCTTCGCGCAACCTCTTGAACATTTCCAGCTTAGTCAAGGAGAGCAGCCTTCGCAATGTCTACCTCCTCCGCGGTACCGCAGATCAACCCAGCTCTTCCATCGCAGTCAACCGAGACCCTATCCAGTAAGGGCTTTCCATCTGACGGGTCGATCGCCTTTCCACCAGCGACCTCCATGATCAGAGCGATCGGGTAGAGCTCATACAGGAACCGCAACTTCGGCAACGTTCCCGGGGTCACGGGCATAACATACACACCGTGCCCTTTAACAAGCGCATGCACAATATCCGGGACAAGACCGCCGCAGTATCTCAGCGTATACGTCTTCTGGATGAACCGTGTGATGAGAGATCCGTATCTCTCATCATCCGCCGCATGGCGCAGGTTGGCTGGCGCGAAGTAGCGAGTCTTGAAAGGACCCTCTGCCAGCTTGACAACTGTGCGAATAATCTCGCAGTCCTCCACTCCATTCTGACCAAAGCCGATCTCGAAGCACGCGGCCTCAGCACCCGGGATGCGGAGCGCAACTATGGCTGTGGTCCGGGGTCCGATGACACCCATCACGGCAGCAATCTGCTTCTCTCTCGGTGACTGTCCGACCGCAGTGCGTCCGTCCCAGATTCCGACGATTGTTCCGACAGTCCAGTTCGGCGCAATGATAGAGCTACCATCCAGGGGGTCGAAAGCAACGGTGTATTCTTCCGAAGATGCGGCGGTGTTGTTGGCATTGCCGTTCGTTAATGTCCTCGCTGGCTTCTCCACCGGATCCTCTTCACTGCTGGCGGTATGTATCGTCGGGCATTCAGCAATCGCGGCGCGCATAACATTCTCGGAAGCGACATCGACGTTCAGCTGGTCGTCGCCGAAAGCATTCGCGGTTCCTGCCAGTGAGACATGTTGCGAGGCATGAAGCGTCTTGGCAATGTCTGAAACAGCTCCCAAAATCGCCGGGATTACTTCGTCGCGCAGAGACTTGCGTTCTTCCTGGGGAATAACGTTCTGGAGCTGTTGTACGAGTGCTGCTGACGGAGCCATTGTGAGAGGTGCAGTGTGTGAAGTGAGGATGACCGGAAATTGTTGAGTCAGGGCGGGCCTGAGCTATTTTAGCATGAGAAAGGTGGTTGAGAGATTTTTGATGTTTGCGGATTGGAGAGCAAATGCCCCATAAATCTGTCTGACAGTGCCTTCGATCCACCAGTCAGAGGCCTGTCATCTTCTCTTTTGGAACTCTATCTAACGTTTATCCCACGTGGAGGTCGATCTCACCAGCAGGGGATACCTAGCAGTGTGTGAG